CTTTGTACATAGCATACAATTAAGCTATAATGCAACAAAAATAAACTTACTTTGTGTTTGGTGGCAATATTCTTGAGCATATTTTCTAGGGTTCTCAATGGAGTATCACAGTTTCTATAATCGCCCCACTTCCCGGCTGCTTGCGCTTTTGTCGCAGCCCAACCATCTGTTAGTCGACAGCACATGAGTTCCTTACAATCAGCATTCGAACCTTCTTGGTAATAAGGATCCAAATGAGTGTCAGATAAGTGTAACACTTTCAGTACAGGTGCTCCTGGCTACACATAAAAAAAAAAATTGAAAATTAACTTTAAAATGAGTGTAGTTATTTTTTTGAACTAAAATTTATCGTTATAGTTAGATAACATTTTTAAATTAAAATGTGAGTAAATTTACTTTACAAAAATTAGAAACGTGATAGTACAAATCTAGAAGAGCAAATTTACCATCTCACGTAGGGTCACACTCCAGTGAGAGAGGCAGTTCTTTTAGTGAAAATTGCGTTAAACGCATCAAAACTAACGTTACATATGGAACTTTCGAGAAGATTGCTTGTGAGAACTATGTAATGCAGCCACCCAGGGCCGGATTAACCTATAGGCACACTAGGCACGTGCCTAGGGCCTACGAAATTCAGGGGCCTACGAAAAACTTGGGAGAAAAAAATTTGTTGACAAAAATAATTTAGCTTTAAAAACAAGTGTATTTTGCACAAAATTATGAAGATACATATTAAAATATAATATTTTTCGGTAATAAATTATTTTGCAGAATCTTATGATCTAATATATTACTTTTTCGCGATTTTTGGATTCAACGAAATCTTGTATTAGCTGACGAATTCCAAGACTACGCAAAATGTCGTATTCAATAGACATAAGTGCGAGTGATGCTAAACGATCATTGTTGAACGCAAATAATTTGTTATCAATTTTAATCTGGAGAACGATCTTTCTCCTTCTGCATTTGATCCAAGAATCGACAAATATATTCTTAATGCAATGTGAGCGTTAGGAAAAGTATTCACAAGTTTATCTTTAACATTGTTATCGATCGAACTAATCATAATGGTATTATCGATATCTACTGCAATATCGGCTGTATGTCGGTATTGCAGATAAAGTTCGATAAACAAATTTGTAAATTAAAATCCATATTAATAAAAATGTTTAAAAAAAATATGCAAGAAAATTTTAGCATATATTTTGAAAAGAGGGGAGGAGTGGGGGAAGGAGGGGAGGGCCCAAAAACGGCTATGCCTAGGACCCACGAAAGGTATAATCCGGCTCTGTGCCTAGGGCCTACGAAAGGTATAATCCGGCTCTGCAGCCACCTCTTGGAGCTCATGCTGTGAGGTTTCCTCAGATCCAAAAAATCAGATCATACAACATTTGTAATCGTTCACTCGCTTTCCCAACACTGTTGTAAGTTAATGTTGAAATTCTAATTTTACTCTTTTCTGCTTATCAGGAGAGAAATACAGCATTATGTCTTATGCTAAATACTCGTCTCAATGGATACTATCATTTCTGTAAAACCAATTTAGACTTAACTGGCTAATTTAGTTTTGAAAATTGTCAGAAAATGCATTGAAAACCTGGAACTTAAATAAGTGTTTTTTTTAATTTAATAATACATAATCTTTTGTATGTATACAATTATATAAACAGACTTTTAAAAAAACAGTTTACTAAAAAATGGAATCCTTACTGGTGGATCTCTGACGATTTCAACTGGAGGTTTAGGGAATGGCGTAAGGGGAACGGTCCAATTATGAAGAGGTGATGAGACTCTGGAACATTCGTTACCCATCAGAACACCGCACACTTCCTGGGGACCCAGTGTTGTTCTTTTAAATATGTAATAAAACTCATCCTAAATAATCGAAAAGATTTGTAATGAATTACTTTGGAAGAGAATATATAACAAAAATATACAATTCATAACGTGATAAATTAAATATTCGCAATGTAAAGAAAGAAAATAAGTAAAACCTATATTTGCATCAATTGCACACTTCTGAACATCAACAAAGAAAAGTTATTTGATTATAATAAAAATTTATAATGTTCCCGTTTATGACTTTATTTAAATTTATAATATCAAAATGTATGAGAAACGAACAGAGAGCTCAAAGGAAATAATGAAACAAAATAGATATTTTAAAAATTGCATTTTTAAGCAAGACAAAAAAGAAGAACATTAAAATTTGTTAAAACCGAAAACGAAACATGCATGGCGTATCACCGTCGAAAGTCATAGAAAGTCGAGATAAAAGAACAATATAAGTGATGAGCCCTACGTTTTTTGTTCTTCTTCTGACCCAGCTTTAAAAGAGAATAATTTTCTCCTTTTTAACGCAACGTTTGCCGCAAAATCAAAGAGTTAAGTTCAAAAATATACTTCATTTAACATGCAAATTATATTAAAGAGAAAAAATTTTAACTCTTACTTCAACATTTTTTTAAAATTTTCCTAGCTTTTTCCTTACGAATATATGACCCTATTTCTGAAAAAGGGCTTTTTAAGCATCACTTAAAGGTTTTTTGAAAATAAAATAAGAATTATGTACTCCACTTTTTGACAGGTGGCAGCACTAAAACAATACAGCACAGAGTAACAGTAAAAATAATTTATTCACTATTGTATTTTTTATTTAAAAAATAGTACTTTTTAACGTTATGTCTCCATTTTTCAACTTTAACTTTATTTTTTTCTACTTAATAACTTTATACGTGTTATAAGAAGTATCAGCTTAAGCAATAACCTATTGTACGCTATTTGAAACTTTACTGAACTCTTAGTATTAAAATTTTATACCAGATGACAGCACTAAAGCCTCTTAAGTGAGATGTTAATTGCATCGAGAGAAAAAAATTTCTTATCGAATTTGTAGCAGGTATATAACATGAATGATTTTTTGTTTTGTTAGTACAATTCAATTTCTTTTATTTTTTAAAAAAAAGTATCCTACTTTGCCCATTTTACTTTACCTGAATTTTTTATGTAACATTATCCATATATCCCTTATTGTAACTAATATATAGTCACTTGATTTTACAACTTATATCCTACAAAATTTTTATTTAATTTTCACTGTATTCTAAATTAAAATCATACCGACGTTATTTGAATATAATTTTAAAATAGAATTCTATACATTCGGATAAAGGACATGGAATCTTGTCCCCATGATATCTGTCCCCATGAAGTCATTCTGTTATATTGTCATTCCGATCTAAGCTACTTTTTAAGACATCTGAAATTTCAAGAGCATTTACTTTAGAAATTAATTTAATATTGTAAGACTAGGGTCTACCTACAGTTACACTAGATATTTAATTGTATAAAAGTTTTCTGAAAATTGTAAGAATGTTATCTTAACTTCTAATTTCATTATTTTTTTATTTTTAATGAGTGGTGTTTGAAAACAACCGGGAAACGGGGGCAGTTGATAAGAAGAAAAAAAACATAAGGTTTTTTTTTTCTAATTTAAAAACGAAAAACATATAAATGTATTCCTACATCATCATGAACAATCACTCCCTGATCTGCGAACAATATTATAATATTTCAAACATACATTTTTATAAAAATAATCGTTTTCAAACATAATTATTTTTTATATAAATAATCGTTTTCAAGCGTCATGACTTTTTATATAAATAATAGTTTTCAAACGTAATTGGGTATAATATGAAAAAAACACAACTACTTCGATTTAGTAGGAACAACATATGACGCAATGCTAAACGAATGGAATTTAGTTGTTGTTTATTTAGTTATTGTTATTAGTAATTGTTGTTATTTGTTTTAGTTGTTGTTGTTTATTTAGTTGTATTTTGTTTCAATAACTTTTCTTTATAATGCAATAAAATCTGGCGAGCAGCTATTTAAACGATCGAACACTTCGTTTGTTTATTTGTGGCTTGAAGTTAGGCTCGCAGAAAATGCCGTTCATGGGTTAAATTTAGTAGGAACAACACAAACTGTGACGTAGGCTATATTATACCCAATTACTTTTCATATAAATAATCGTAGTTCGTAAAACCAACCAAAAAGAAATTTTACTCGGATAGTGGGCCAGCAATGAAAACTCTGACAGATTCAAGTTGCGTTTAAAAACGATAAAATTATATTGGTAAAATTAAAACAAAAATACCCTGTAAAGGTTGGTACATAAAAAGATATGAGGTTCTAAACATGCACTGAAGACCTACATTGTCTTGCATTTAAGGATGCCATTATGATGCTTTGCATTATGATACCATATTCCACGCCTTGCTCACAAGTGATTCTACAGATTTCGATACCATTCTTATTTCATCCTCATATAAATATTGATTTAAGATCCTTCATCTGTATACTGTTTTGACTTAATTTTTGACAAGAATTATAAAATATATATTAATAGCTGCAATTACAGAACACCCAGTGTTAATTAGCGTAACAAGGATAAGCATATTTCAACTAAATGTATGCATTAAATTCAGTAATTATAATTTGTTTTCTTCTCTTATTTTAAGAGCAATAAAATGTTTATATTTTTGTAGACATTTTTTAAATTAAAAAGGGAAACACACATTGATAAGATACAATTTATAAAGAACGAACAAAACAATATCGCATTTGCGATCAAGAAAACTTGTTAGATCACTTATTAAAAATAATGACGTCAGCAATTTATAAGAAACATATAAACGAAAATAAAACTCAATCTTTAGATAGCTAAAAGAATCAAAATATTTATTTGAAAAGTACACATGATATCATTCTAATTTAAAATTCAATTTTGCACTGAAAATGAAGTAAATAGGTCATACCGAGATACCCTCACATAAGTTCGTTAATCTCAAACCTTGACTAAAAGTCATAGACAAAAGCAGGGTTTCCGCTACGGTAGCTTTTTTCGCAAAATGCGAAAGGACCCCTCAAAAATGCTAAAATTCAACAAAGCATTTTCGCATTTTTGCTAAAGGATTTTACTAAATTCCATTTAAAAAAAAGCTTCCGCGAAAAACCATGACGCTAACATCCATGAAAAAAACTTGATCAAACAAGAAGGAAAAAAATCTAAATATCTTGAATGAAAATATTACTGATAGATTGGGAGATTTGGATAAAATCGAAATGTTCAATATATTTATACCTAGCAGGATGCCCCATAGTTCGGAAGAATTACAGCATTATGGTGTAAAGGAAATTCGTTGCATTTTCAATTTGTTTTCGGAATCTCCCAGAAAAGATTTTCAGTTTACAGAAACTGAGTTACTTTGTGAATGGGGATTATTTAAACACATCTTAATGCAACGATGTAAAAACATGTCATTTAATGAATTACTTTTATTTTTATATACCAATGATGTGTCTGAACAGTACCCATTAATAACTTCTGTTATAGAGTATTGTGCAACAATACCAATGCACACTGTTGACTGTGAAAGGGGCTTTAGCTGCCTTAATTTGATTAAAACTAATATTCGAAACAGGTTGTTAATCAACCATGTAAACAATTTGTTAATGATTAATATTGAGGGCCCTGAAAGTGCATTTAACTTTCAAGAAGCATTTGTAAAATGGGCAAACATGAAAGAAAGGAAGATTGTTAATTATAAACCAAAATGTTTTGATAAATAATAAATGTGTTTTTTTTTGTTGTTGTAGGTATTCTTTTTGATATTCTTGTACATTAAGCTATTCTTTGTCAGATAACTTACAGTACTTGTTTGATATAAAGTAATTTTATAAGCCTAATAGCATTTTAGCATTTTGCTAAAACTTTTTTTCAGATTTTAGCTTTTTTGCTAATGAATTTTTAGACTCAGCTTAAACCCTGGACAAAAGAGTGATCGATTTTTTACAGCTCTTCAGATTCGATAATTTACGAGGTTATTACTACTATGGGGGAAAAAAAATACATTTTAAGCAATTTTATTTATGGAATGTTATTGCAGATTCTAGATAATTTTTTAAAGAAACTAATTGCAAATATGATTGTATTTGAAGAAATTCTGAAAATGTAGATAAAATCGGACGATTTCATTTTAGAAGAGAATTAACAATTAACATAATTTTTCGTAGCTCTCTCGCCAAGGAAAATAAAAAGAGACACAAGAGACAATAAGTGCTTTACACTTGAAGAAAAGCTAAAATTTTAAATTATCTATACAATCTTGTAGTGAAGAATTCACTGTGCTTTAGAACGGACAAATTACTTAAATATTTTAAAAATTATTAAACCTTTCTAAAAATTGCCAATTTGGCGATATTTTTCCACCTTGATGAAAATTATCATAATCATTGCCTTATTCTCAGTTTTTGAAAATTTTTATGAGCCCAGATTATGTCGCATATAAGTAAGTTTTTAAATGTTAAAAAAATGGCACCACAAACCCTTTTCATTTTCACTAACTGTGGCTTTTCTCCATATTAAAAATTTGCGCTGTTTTCTGAATAAGCTTAGAGAGCATTTACTATACATAGGCTAAAAAGTCATGAGTTGCTAAGCAGTTATGAAAATAGCATATAATTTGCAAAAAAGCATTCGTGCCTTCGAATTACAGCCAGGTGAGGAAACTGAAGACGGGCAAAGCTAGATTTATTTAAGACTAGAATTGACGTAGAATGACAAAATCATACTGGTGATTTCATAAAGATAAAAAAATTAATCGGTTTTGTCTGAAAAAAAAAGTGGCGTATTAAAACTAAATATATATCACTGTGTCTGAAGATAAATGTTTTTAAACAATGTGCGCTGCTCGCACTTAATAACGAAGTAAAGGACTTCGGCATGCAAACATTTGAAATACAAAATCATGACAATATTTAAAATAACACAAGACACAAAATAATGTTTTGCATAAGTATTTAAAAATAAAAAAAGAGTCGAAAACGTTAAACATTGAAAGAATATCAAACAAAAGTCTTAGATGTCATTGAAAGGTTTAGAGTTGTAAATCGTCATTGGCAAACCATATATAGCTCGAATAATTGACAATTGCTTTTTTCTCATATTTTAATTTGATATCTTCATGGCATCAAAAGTCAAGGAAAACGACAAAAGAAGTCAAATGAAATTGAAAAAGGGCAATTTCATAATTTATAAATGACTCATTTGCAAATTTCAAATGCATATAATTCAGTTAAAAATTAAGTAGTTCTATAAATATTTGCAAAAATGACTTTTGGTGTTATTTTCACCAGCTCCATTTTTTTCAGTAATGCCAAACGCATAATTTTTCGTAAAAATAAAAACTGGATGTTACGGGTGTAAAACAATATGTGATATGAGTAACAATCTGTTTCTAATTTTTAAAAAAAAAACTCCAAATTATAAAGTCATCAAAAATTAGAGTAAATATAAATGACTACAAGAGTTAACGCTGTTTTTCGAATCTCTGTCGCCAAAAAAAAAAAATAAATAAAAATAAAAAATAAAAAAGCCATAGTTTAAGTTTCTTACACTTAAAGCAATGCAATCATTTTAAACTATAAATATAATCTTACCGTGAAGAATTATCTGAGCTTTAGAACAGACAAATAACTTACATATTTATAAAACTGTTAAACTTTTTTAAAAATCGTTAATCCGGTGACATTTTTGAACCTAGACGAAAAATATCAAAATCACTGCCTTATTCTCAGTTTTAGTAAATTTTTATAAGCCTAAGCAATGCAGCATTGGAGTAAGTTTTTAAATATTAAAAAATTAGTCCTCAAACGTTTTTCATTTTCACAAAACTGTAACTTTTCTCCATATTGACGTTTTGCGCCATTTTCAAAATAAGCGGAGAGAGCAGTTATAAAATTAGCATATTATTCGCAAAAATCCTCATTTAATATTATGATGGAGCTTTCGAAAAACAGCTTTAACAATAACTATTGGAACTTCACTTTCTAACTGAGTTCTATGCATTTAAAGTCTCAAAATATGATATTTTTAAATGGAGTTACTCAATAGTAGCACGTGTGGATTAAGAAACAAAAGCAGCAAATCGAAATCTGTTTAAATATTTGAACGAGAAATTGATAATTATTACAAATGCAAATAATAGCGAGAGAGAATTTTTCCTCTAACAAAGGTGCCATGACAAATTAGGTCATACAACAAAAACATTTTTTTTTTCAAAGAAAAGAACAAATAAGGTTAGTTTTTACTTACCTTGAAGAGATCAATGATTCCTGAACAAACCCTATCACTGTCCAGTTTAAGTGTTGAGCAAATGGTATAAGCAATGTGCGCTATTTCTTCTTTTGGCTTATCACTTTCTACAAAGTGTTGTAAAAGAGCAATTCCAAATTTACAAACAAAGCACATTGTTGGAGAAGTTTTGCCGACTTTCAGCTCCGCAACCACCTGAAATAAATTATCGAGCAGTTTTATAATTGTTCTCAAAGAAAAATACGCCAATTGATCAACATTTCTTCTATAGTTTAAGAAGTTCTGCAGGTTAATTTAACTTACATCTTGAAGGGGAAAAAAAAGATAAAACATTTTAGAAAGGAATAATCACGACAGTCATGACGAATATTCCTTTCAGTCCAACTGATTTGGTAATTTTTTTTATCTAAAATAAATATTGAATGATATGAATGATTGTCTTGAAGTATCCAAGGTGTGCTACGTAAACTACAGCAAAAAACAGCGTGAATAAAACGCAAATAGAGTACAGAAATGGGCATTATATAGTTTCGGTTCTCGAAACAAGAACCTTCTCTTATTTTAACCCTTTGAATAAAAATTTTCATTAAACGCATTTTTTTTTCATTGTTTTTTATTAATTAAAGACAAAATAAGTGAAAAATATCATATTCAGCATATTAATAATTTTTAATTATGAAATACAGCATCGGACACCGGTGTTCCTTTTTCAAGACATGGCTTGTTTCCATACAATAATTTTTCAAATTTGCACATATTAGCAGATAATTAGAACAAAGAGAAACAGTAATTCATCATTGAAATTTTTAATTTACAAAATCAATTATTTATAATTTTTTAAATATGTATGAATATTTTTTTTGTACTACGCTTGTTTGGATTTAATATTTTAAAGCAAATATGATTCTGATAATCTAACAAGTGTTTTTAGTAAGTTTTTAGACTGTTTTTTTTATAATTAAAAAAAAACAAATTTTATTTTAATTGTAATTAGAGACGCAGAATAAATATATGAAAGGAACACAGGCGTTTGCACCGAAGGGATAATATATTTGACGCAAAAAAATCAATTTCTTAGTAATTTTAATAACATTTCTATACAAAGTATATTTTATAAAAATACCTAAGTTTGCGGGCTATAAAAATTTTATCTTCGTAATTATAAAAAAATAATCAAATAATCATAAAAGCTTGCTTGATCATATGCATTATTTATTCTTTTCCATCATGTCATATTTACGAGCTTTCTTTGTATAATAACAAGATTCTTATAAGATCATGTCCATTTCTTTAACTGTGACATGATAATTTATTTTTATCTTAAAGTAATATCCATTTAAGATTTTTATGCAACTTCACGAAATAATTCTTTTATGAATATTTATATCTCATTTTAATTTTTAATTCAATTACTATACGCTTTTAGTTGCCAGTTTAGCTTGGTTTTTTTATTTTTCAGAAAAAAAGTTTGCATTTGTTTCACTCCAAAAACTTTTTCTTGATAGTTTCGCTTATTGAAAGGAATAAATCCCAAAAATTCATATATATTTTTTATAATCTTTTATCCTGCAACCATCCAAAGACTCGCAGTAAATCTTCTTTATGCAATAGCATTCTTGAAGCGGTCGAGACTTATAATTAGAGTGTGACATTACGACTTATGTCTTTAAAACTCTTTCACCGAATGAAGTTGAATCAGTTCACTTCTGGCCACAAAGACTTTATGTCTTGAGGGAAAGTTTTAAAAGTTTGAGTTCGTTGACAGCAAAAGAATCTCTTCCTTTCAAACAAAAGTAGTTTAATTTGTTTTGTGGTTTTATATTCTTTAGTTAGAGTCTTTGAGAAAGTTATTTTTATCCCTTTTTCCGGGTTCTCTAACATCTAATAAAGTTTCTAGTCCATTTTTGGAAAAAATAGTACTAGCTAAATGGGTATTAACAAAAATTAAATAAAAGTAGACACTTTTAAAAGAAAATCTGATAATAAAGTTATAGAACAGAAACGAGAATTAGTTAAAAATAATGAGAAAACAGTTTATTAAATTTTGTGAGTTGAAATATTGTGCGTTATCATATGTAGATCTCACCACATCAAGCTGTTGAATACTTCAATAAACCAAGTAAAAATGATTAAAAGCTTTAAAAAAATTGTGTTACTTTTATTGGTAAAGAATATGCTAAATAATGATATTCTTCAACCTTAGACATTGAAATAAAAGTCTGATTCATAAATCTGTTATTAAAAAATGTGTTAACTCCGTAATTATTTTTAATGGATATTAAATTATAGAGAATTTGTTTGCATAATAATTGAAGTGTCTTGTATTTAATTATAGCTAATTTAATCGACCTTTAATGTTTTCTGTAGCATCTAATAAAGAATTTTACACTTTCTAAATGTTTTTCTTGCGTAATTTTACACAGAATTTTTTATTTCGTAATATTTTGCTTGCGTTATTTTAATACAGAATTTATTATTCCGTGAAGTTTTTTTGTATTATTTTATGGAGGATGTTTATTTCATAATGTTTTTCGGCATTATTTTGTCTAGAATTTTTCCTTTCGTAATGTTTTTCTGACATTATTTTACTCAGACATTATTTTCTGTTTTTCTTGCGTTATTTTACAAAGGAATTTTCATTTTGTAATATTCCTATGCGTTATTTTAAACAGAATTTTTCATTTCGTGACGTTTCCTGTATTATTTTATAGAGAATTTTTCATTTCGCATTTTTCATTTTTTTTTTTTTAAGAAAACTTTGTATGTTTTTCTCACAACATATTATAATTAACTTAATCAGATTTTAATTTTTAATTTTCAAACTATTTGATAATCCGTAATGTTCTCTATAGATTATTGCTTCATTAATCTACAGAGAATTTTTTTTTCATTCCACGATGTTTTTATTAATTTTTTTTTTCAAATTGTTCACTTCGTAGTGGATTGTTTTTATAATACTCTAAGGAATTTGTTATTTTCTAATGTTTTCCTTACACTAAATCACAGCAAATTTAATCAATCGGAAACGTTTTCTTTTTCTTTCTTTTTTTTATTTCGTATAAATGTTTTTGTCTCTGTAACTAATTAATAATCCAACTACCTTTAACGACGAGCTCTCTTTTTTGAAGATTTTTCTTTTAGCTGTAGTTGGTCCCAATTATAACGCGAGCTTTCTTTTCTTTTAAAATTTATTACTTGAGATACAAAAAATCTATTGGAAAGTTTTTGTTTTTATTTAAGAAAATGCAAGACAGGAGAATGGGTCGTTGAAGGCCGCTAGATTGGAAAATCGCGACCAGGTCCCGTTACCATCCCGTCTTCTCGGTTTTAGCACTTCGGTTACATTAGTAATCCGATTCCTAGCTGTTTTAGCTTTTCTTTTTTACAAAATAAAATTTCACAACGTTTTCCAACTATGCAAAACATCCTTATCTGTAACGATCTTCGCATTTTTTATTATATTTTGTTTGCTAACATGCAGCCTCCCTTCAAACATTTTCTTTTTTTTAATTTCAACTTAAAAATTGCTTAAAAAGAGTTTTCACATTTCCTCGCTTGGTGGTTGTTAGAATATTAATCATTTTTTAATTTATTTACTTGTCTTTACAATAATATATTTTAATTTAATTTGAACTTTACTATAATATATTACATATATAACGGAAAATATGAAAAGGATATTAGAAATTGAAATTTATAAAATTATTTCTCTAATTCTTTAGAAAATAGTGTTACAATAAACCTCGTAAGCATTTTGCAGTGTTCGATTATTTTAATTATTTCGAGAGCCTCTAACGATTTTCGAAATTCTTTCCCCCTTTTTTTTTTCTTCTACTAATAATTTATTGTGACAATTCGAACGTTTTTATGTTTTAATGTACTTCCGTATTGTTAAATGATCCAAATTGAACTCATTTTGCATGCTTCCATAAATAGCTACTACATAATATATTCATAAATCAGAAGTCATCGTGGAGAAATCTTCAGAGGAAGGCATTGGCTCACATTGGGTTGTCTGGCCAACTATGATGATGATGAGATAATATATTCAGACAAGATTCACTATTTCAGATACTTTCAAACACATTCCATATTTTTCAGAAGGAAATACACTGTATAAGAGGGTTTCTCAAATCTGTGTCAAAATAGCTCCAAAACAAATATAGTCGAATTTGGAAACCCATGCGTATAAGTGAATTTTCCAGGTATAGTACTTGCCTTTTTAATCAGGAAATGTTCGGATAAACCAAAATGACCCTTTGAAGTTGATAACTTTTTTAGCAATTTTGAAATAATTCTGTAGGATTGCAATATTTCTATAAGACTCTTTTTAATTATAGTGATATTGAAAAATTTACTTACTCTTTTAACTTACTACCTCAATTTTGGTCTATGTAAATTTTGCATAGCTTAGAAGAACATCATTTCTAAAAGCTTCAAGCATGATCTTTAAAACTATGCCTTCCAAAACATTTACTGCTTAAAGCAAAATTGTTTACATAGAGCTAATATCCAAAATGTTTCTGTCAAAAATTTTCCATTATTTTGATCAAGCCCTGTAAAATTAGTGTTACAAACAACAGATATACATTGCGTGGTTCTAGATTACAGTCTTATTTATTTTACTTGTATTTTATAAATACTAAGTCTTCCTCTTTGAAGTACAGGGTACCCATAAGTTGGCTTTAATGACCAACCTATTTCAAAACCATGCAGCATAATTTCATCACAATCCGATAGTGACATAATAATATGATGAAAAACTTCACTCCTAGATCACCAGACTTGAGCATATCCCACTTTTGCTTTATTTTATTTTATAATCGACATTGAACAGCTGACCCAATTTTAAGCGTACAACTATCAATGATTAACACCATAACTTGTAATTTTGAACCTAATCCAGAAGACAAGATACCTCTTGAACCTCATCGGGACAAATTAGTCTTCGTGGAGGACTGTTTTATGGAACTAACCCGCAATTGCGTTACACGGAGAAGAAAACCAAGGAAACCTTCCACGGTTAACCCGGCACAAAAGGGATTCTAACCCATGATCTGTCTTACCACTGAGGATGCTTACGTCTTTGGTTGGTGTTAGTCATGAGCACAGTTCGTATCAACCAGCCATCGCTGGGATTCGAACCTGACTCACCTCATTGGGAGGCGGATGCTCTAACTACTCCGAGTCACCGA